TGTAGCACGTGACCAAATATTATCTTTACAAAACGTTTACTGCCGGTATTATTTCAACCAAAAATAGTAGTTTTACGCCCGATTCATCCAAAAGAGTTAGTTTGCACAATTTTTACCAGTTCATTTCCTATTTTGAGAAATAATCAAATTGAATCTGATGTTTGTGATGTTTGCTGTTTGCCGTAAACGTAGTTCTAGATCTCTCAAGGCTCTACTATTTCGAAATGTGATTCCTTCATGAAAAAAATTAAATCTGGTTTTGAAACCTCTACACAGGAGGAATACACCGCACTTTCGACAACGAAGGCGACGGAGTCAAAGCTTGGTGTATCAAAAGGATTATTTTTATCACTAATCCTGCAGTCATTATGATAATCTTTTCATTACTTTTAGCTAGTCAGCGAGATCGAGGTGGAGTATCAAAATCACCAGCACTGGCGTCTAATCCTCAATCAATTGTAGTAAAGCACGTTTGCCAAAAACAATCGTTCATTTTTACACTGTAAAACAATTATGGCTTACAATAGGTTAAAAACTGGATTTTCTACTGAAAGAATAAATCGTTCGCCTTAGGACGAAAAGCCGTAAATACATAGATTTGTATGCGTCACTCGACCTTAACAGACTCTTGTACAGCAATGATAGCCTACATAAAACTGAGTTGTAATATATATCTACATATCTCCATGGGGAGAAAATAGCAGTAAGTAAAAATACACTCCGTAAACCTTCGGCCAAACCAACATTTAGAACGCATCTCATATTAGCTGGAAGCGCTTAGCCAGTCGAAAATTATTTGCCAGTAAACGAGGGCTCCGACTCACAAAAAGCGAAAGTTACACCGACCGCAGTGACAGTTTGGAATCAGCTTTCAGCTGAAGCAAAAAGGTATCAATAGAAAAGCAATAACGTATTTAGCGGAAGTCAATAGTCCCATCGTGGTTTGGGTAAATATTGACATTTTACTACGTATACCTCCTTTACAGTCAGTTTCCTGTATAGCATATATAACGAACAGAAACAGGTTAATATGTGTTTTAGGACGGTATCAGGCGGTTGTGGCTTATAAGGGAACAATTGTCCCTGATAAAATAGAAATAGGCTCTAATGACAAAGATTTTGTCATTTGTCAATCTCAAGGGGTTTAACGCCTGGGTCAAAGGCGTGTTCAGAGCATATAACTGAATGACTAGGAGCCCTAAAACAAAATGAAATTTTCCACGATGGATCTTGAGGATCAGTAGATCTTGAGGTCTTCTTCCGCCTTAACGTTTAATTATGGTCACGGGACATGCCACCTGACCAAGAATTCAAAAAGGAGGTACTTGGCGAATTGGTGGTAACTTTCTACGTCTGGGATCAATGTACACGAAGTTTGAAATTAAAGTTTATAAACATTCAAGATTAAATTAGGGTATTTAGAATGATGTTTTCCCTCATAATCTTTTATTGAAGTGCGGTGGACAGTCATTCCAAACGTGAAGTGTAAGAGACATTTATATATGAATGAGAAAAATGTTATCGCTTGATTTAACCCTCCACCAATTTGTCAATTATGTAAGAGTTTTAGCAAAATGGTCGCATGACATATCACGTGACTCTTTAACACAATATTTATACTTTAAAATGTTAAGGACGATGAGTTCTTTACGTGTGGCAAATTTTGGGGTCCCGGAGAAATGATCAGGTACTCTTTGTATTTGTTTCCTCTGTTAAAGGAACATCTCTATTCAGGGGAAAGGAACACTTTTTCGGGGTCGGGAAACCCAATTTTGACCTCCTTTCAGGGGACACCCTGGCACTCAATATTCACCAGTCAAAATGGCTACAGCTTTTAAGACATGAACTACGTATCTCGCTAAAGTCGATGTACTAAACTTGTGGGAATTCATACACAACATTGCAGACGTAATTAAATCATGATGTTTTTTTCAAATTTATCTACCTGCTTGAAATAATGACTGCTGCAGATTCCCAGGCAGAATAAAAATATATATATTTTTTCTTTGTTGGTTAATTCAATTAGATCAAATTTTCTTCATGATAAAAGAGAAAATATAAAAGAGGGGAAACAGGAAACACACATGTAATAAAGATACCATTGTCGGTGTGGCAGTGATTAATATACAGTGTTTATTATATGGCCATGTCTCAAAAGGACTGGAAACGAACAAATTCAAGAATTTGATTGGCTAAAATCGATCTTGACCATCTAGACCGATCTTGTCGTAACAGTTGTCCTCAAAAAGTTACAAACAAAGAATATGAAAAAATTGGCTAATTCCTGTTAATAATACTAAATGGAAGAATCAGTGGACCTTCACGAAGAAGCAGGTAAAGAAAACGAGCAAACGTTGGCAAATTTGAGTCCTGCCGAGGAAGCTACGAGCAAAGATTAAGTCGAAATTGAGAAATTTTTGCAGGAGCAGAAATCAAAAAACACTCAATACAAGACTAAGAACAATTTAAACGCATGGAAGAAATGTTGTGAGTCACTGAAAAAGTCCAGAGCAATTGAAAACATACCTGCCAATGTGCTCGACCTTCTTTTGTCTAAATTTTTCATCTCCGTTCGTAAACAAAATGGCACTGAGTACGAGCCGGGTATTTTTAAGTGGCTTCCAGCGAAGTTTTCAACGCTATACTTGCATTAAAAAGAAAGTCAGCCAAACTCGATGACATAAACAAGAGAAGGTTTCTATTCACTCCGTTAGAAAGACCAGCCAGTGTTGGACGACGTCTCGAAGCAGACGCTCAGCCAAACTTCGTTGCACAGCTAAGCGGTCACAAAAATTTGTACCATTCCGCATCTCTGAAGCGACAGCGAGAAATGTCTGCTATCATGAATCGTGAGCCAGGTACAATAACATCCGCTTAGTCTGAAGAAAACCAAGTCAGTACCTCCACTAAAACACAGCAAAATGTCTTCACAGTCCAACAAATCCAGCCTCAGGCAATTTTTGCTGGAGCGCATATTGACAAGTTCGAAGGCTGCACATTTACCATCAACGTTTTCTGTGTGGTGATCAGTCCAAGATCGCAAGGCTGAATGAGAACTAATCGCTGAGCGATCGAGGCACAAACCGGCATTACTTACATTGCAGTTGCACTTTTGGTCACTTTTCATAAATTGTTGTTTCAACCACAAGCTTTTTCATTGAGCCTGTATGAAAAATTTTGTCTTCATTCATTGACGAAGTTTGTACAAAGCTGGACTTTGAACAGTTATTTTTGTCCCGTTTGGATTGGAGACCAGTGACAGAAGAAAGCCAGCTAAATGCTTGAGCTCGCGCAGGGAAGCAAATAAAATTATTTATGTTTTTATTCCTTTGCTTTCTTGTTTGGCCATATAATAAACATCTTATTAACCGAGCTAGGTCGCTCTGTATGGGAAAATCTTGACTTCGGTCGTTGGTATAGACCTCACTGCGTTCGGTCTGTACTGGCGACCTCGGTCAAGATTCTACCATACAGACCTCCCGCTCGGTTAAAAAGAGCTAATTAACACACCAGAAGCGATTCACATAAAACCAACCTGGTATACTGATCAGGAGTTCTGGATCTCCTTATTTCTCATCATCAATCAAAATATTTTTTTCCAAATTTTCTGATTTCAGATTTGATATTTCGACTAACTATTCGCAGAACTAGAGATTTGTGAATGAGCAAGTTTTACTTTATTTATTTAATGTTATTTTTTCTTTCAGTTTTATTATTATTATTATTCATTATTTCTTTCTTTCTTTATTCATTTATTTTTGGTACAGATGAAGTTATTCCGAGTAGCGCACATTGCCCCCACTACGGATTAACCGTTCATTGAGCCAAAGAATTATCATCAAACTATTTCGAATCTCTCAACAAGAACTCATAAACGTTGACATTACATTTTTTTAAGTGCGATTCCATCGCAATTGATCCACCTGCCAATGCCGATCAAATTTCTGCGGCCAAGGTAAATCAGTAATTCAACTTCTGCGTCATCAGTAATATCCCACATTATCAGTATATACACACTCAATGATCCTGGCATTTTAAACAATCTGATGGTTCGCTATCTCGGACTATGATGCTGTAAATATGAAGCGAAACAAAATCACTGTTTTAAACTCGGTGTTTTGCCGGGGTATTTTTTGAAATATTTATAGTGAGAACTACTTAGACATACAAGAAATCCTATCGTTAGGATTTTAAAGGTAAGAAAATCCTTCAAAGAGTTTAAACAGCGCGACGTATTCTTTAACTCTCAAAGCAATGTCGACAGTCAATTACAGAGAACGAGGCCGGTTTGTAGACTCAGGATTTTTGCGAAAAATCCAAGTTAATTTGTGAAAAAAAAGCTAATAAATAAAAGCAAATATTTTCCAAAATTGAATATAAGGCAGCAAGTAAACTAAGACAAAGAACACTACAGAAAACAACGCTCACCTCAGCCCTTGCAAGACGCGACACAAAAACCGTCTTTTCATCGGTGAGTTCATGTGACAGAAGCATAAAGTTCTACATTCTTTCTCAGATGAGGTATTATTAAACTTTCGACGATTCCTTTAAAATTGCTGATGCCGTAGCTTACAAAATTATGAAATCTATATTTTGCCATGTTTGACAATATAAAAAGTCTAACTTTTGAGCATCTCTTATTTACGGCTTCATGTTCATTCATGATTTAGCCCGTCAATCGACTAGTGGTTTCCTTTCTGATTCTGTTGAGATCACTTCGTGTGTATATACTAAAACAATTAACAATTATTCTTTTCAATCGCAGTGAAAAATGGCCTTAGGAATATTTACCTCGCCGCGAAATATTGTCAAATATCAAACTGATGATTTTATGGCAGATTAGAAAAATTAAATATAAACTAGGCAAATAACTATGTCGTATAATACTTACAGCTTACTAGTAGTATCAGTTGCTTTTCTGTAATCCCAGCAGAGTTGTTCGCTTTGCATGTATACGATCCTGCATCGGCTTTGCTGATTGAGCTAAAATTGAGTGTAGCTGTTTTAGAGCCAGAAATCATGATTCTGCCATCATGGACCCAGCTCACATCTGGGACTGGATTTCCAGAAGTTTTACAGCTGATATTCACAGCGTCGCTTTCACGGTAAGTTGCGTTGCCTGATGCAGGATGAGTTATGATCGGTATCTCTGCAAAGTGAGGCAAATTAAAGGTCCACACTTAAAGAATATTTTCGTCGTTGCAGATCAGTAAAGAAACGTTGCTTACTTAGCCAGCTTAAGGCTGTATTATTGCGATCTTCAGTAAAAACTGTTTCGAAGAAATATTTTGCACTTTTTCTTGCCCCTCTAATCATAATGATCTCTTTTGGTACCTCACTTTCCAACGCACGGCACGTCGGCGTGATGTAAGATAACTGACAGTTTACCTATTCGTTGATTCTCAATGATTTACCCAGAGTTAAGGCGAGAAAAAGGCCGCTTAATGTAGACATTTCACTACACAGTAATTTTCAAGGAGTTATAATTTATAACTCCTCTAGTGGGGCTAATTTAACTCCTTACAGTGGAGTTATTTTTGGGGGAGTTATTTTAACTCAGCTCCAAAAAGGAGTTTAAATAACTCTTTTTCATGAGTAAAAGTGACCCCCAGATATTGAGGAGTAGAAGTAACCCCCAAAAAAGAGTTATCCTGTACCTAAACTTTTTACCCCACTTTCAGAGTTAAATTAACTCCAAAAAGAGTAAATACAACCCATGTAAGGAGTAAAAGTAACCCCATTTCGGAGTTATTTTAACTCCAGACTGGGAGTTAAAAGAACTCTTTTTCAGGAGTAAAAATGACCCCAAATTCGGAGTTAAATTAGGAGTTAAAATAACCCCCCAAAAGGGGTTATCCTGTACTTAAAATTTTTACTCCATTTTTGCAGTTATAATAACTCCCTAAAAATTACGTTGTAGCTACTTCATAATAACTAGCGGATGACCGTGATTTATAGGCGAGTCTAGCAATTCTCATTGCTTAATCTTAATACATTTTGATTTATCATAACGGCTTTTGTAGAAAGATCATTATTTTAAATAAGAAATTGACTTTAATAAGTAACAAGGCTCGTTAAACTAGGTTTTTTGAAAACATTTTTAACTCTTCGTTCGAAGTACTTTTAAAAAGGGGAATTTACGAAGAAATAACATAATTATGATTATGTAGATAGGTAAGCTCCTGCTCTTGCAAGTTATCGTACCATCACGATATTTTGCTCAACCTCGTGCAATAATTGTTAATTATTATATATAAAACAAATAAGATAGCACGCGCGCTCTGACTAGCCGAAAGGCGTGTTTGCATGAGGAGTATGTAAACACGGTTGTGAGGTCAAGATGTTTTGCTTGTCGCATACTAATCTCGCAAGCACGAATTTGAAAACGTTTTTGAGTTGAAAACTCGACAAGTTTACGTTATTTCCCCATTCCATCGTCGGCTGAAACTTGAAAAATCTTTACCAAAAGTCTTTGTCAATTTTGTTTTCGCACATGCTGACATTTTATACGAGAAAAATCAGTATTTTGGAAAGCATCTTTTTGCAAAACAAGAAGTAATCACGCGAACAAGACTTCGCATACAAGACTTCCCAACTAATAAGAATTTTATTTTTAACCAGTGCCAAAGGTTTTTGCGTTTTTTCTTGAAGAAGTTAATTTGTAAAGGCAATAGAAAGCTTTTTTCGTGTATTTGCATAGCCTACGGCCTAATATAAATACTCGATCGCGAGGGGTTGGGAGAATTCTCGACAAATCAAGTGCAAACCCTCCACTTCATCTCGGGTTTGCATAACTGTCTCGAATTCTCCCAACCTCTCTCGGGTTTATATCAGACTTTGCAAACAAGGGAGACGTTTTCTATTGACCACTCCAGAAAATACCATAGCATGCCATAATACTCTTTGCTTGTCACCCCAGAATTTTTCATAAGCATTGTCTTCAGTTTCTCTTGGGAGTTAAAAAGGCCCAAGATAAACTGAAAACAATGCTTATGCAAAATTTTGGGGTGACAAACAAAGAGTATTATGGTATGTTATGGTTTTTTCTGGAGTGGTCAATTCCTTAAAGGGACTGGTTCAAGATAATGCGCATGTGTGAGTTCTGACAGTAGCTGATTGTTTTTAAACCAATCGGAAGCGAGTTAGATGCACGCAAGTAAATTTACAAAATTCAAATTCATTGTTCGCGACGCGAGAGTATTTCCGGGCATTTGGTTTAATTTTATTTATCCCCATAATTCAAGTTTATTCTTTGCTACTCCTCATATGTATTTTGCAGCCGATAAGAATAAGATTTACAGCCCTGTCCTGCTTTGAAACAAACATTCACCAACGTGTATTTTTACGAGGTCGTACCCACGTTAACAAAGCAGTCATGATCACCGATCGGCAAACAAAATTTGTAAACAAACATTTTATTACTGTTCTCTCAGTTCGCCCTGTATAAACCCAGAAATACCTACAAATAGCACCTGACCGGCGACAAAAACGCACAACGTTTGCGTATTAAGATTATCCTTAATTGAGCATAAATTTCAATTGCTTATCAGCAAATGAACAAATTCATTCGCGTTGCATCGGGTCAGTGTTCTGGAAAACAAATGTTATTGAGTAGAACACATAAAGAAACTAGATTATAAACAGAATCATCGTACTCAGGCAATAATGTCTTTTAAGAACATCAATTCTTAAACATACACGATCATAAAGCAAAGATACATGGAACATTTCAAGTGTACCAGATCGGTAAAGATCGCGCGGCCTGTTGCGGTATAACTACAGGTCAGAGTCAAAAATCAAACCAAAGTTGAACGAACTCATGCCTTTAACCACTTTCCAAGTGTCGTGTATTTTTTGCGTAAGCCACACACTACTCCTAGAACCATACCAAATACATCGGCTAAGCTTCTCTATCTCCAAAGACTCTTGAGAACGTCCTGTTGCCGGACGGCCACGATGCTCTTCTGAACCTCCATGATCAAAACATTATTTTTTGCGTCTTCTTAAAACGTAACCGGTCAAACAACACAACCACACGTTAATCACCACTACCAAAGTATAACTAGGCCAGCCAAAGCGACGAATGTTGAAATAAAACGAAGGATTTTCAATGATTGTACCAGTAATGGCGATTTCGAAATTAGTGTTGACCCGACAAATTTATTCTGAAGAGACAAACGGCGCGCATGCGCATAAACGTGATCGCGTCCCCTTAAATAGCCCCAGCCCACACTTATAAGCCTTCCAGTTATAAGCCCATTCACCGTTAAACAAAAACTGTAACCCTGTTATAAGCCCTTACGACCCAAGAGCTAGTCCAAAACTGGAAGAGGGTCCTACAAGCTTTTCACAAGTGTAACTTGCGTTTTTCTGCCCACAAGACCATCATCAGCCTCAAATTTACCACTTTTTTGGTTGGATCTGGAACGCTGGTTCTCTCTCCGTCAGTCCAACCGCCTGAACACCCTAGCCACTTACCCTGTGCCGAACGTTTTTGATCAATTAATATCGTTCATTGGCGCATACAAAGTCCTTTCAAGTGTCATTTCAAGGTGTTCAAGTTACCTCGCTTCCCTGGATGCAGTAACAGCCGGTCGTCCTGCGTGGATTCAATCGATGATTTCATGGCTGCATTCCGTAGGGCTCAGAACGCTCTTTCATTTGCGCTCACAATCACGTTCCCAAGACCTGAGGACCAGCCATGGATTGTAAATGACGAGGCAGTGAGGTACCCACTATGTAACGAGCGCAGAAAAGTTACTTGTGTCTGGTTTCTTCAGCGTCCAGGCATATGATCGTTTGCCTCATGCGGTACTACTTTTAAATCTCGCGGTAGACCTCTGATATCTTGGTTATGGAAACCGACGCTCATCTCAAGGTCGCTCAATCTCTAGCTCGTCTTAACTGTAGTTCTTTTTAAGTCTATTATATTCTTTTCAATATCAGCAAAAGATTCTTCTAGTCATTGATTTGCACGAATTGTTTGTCTAGTTTTCCAGTACTAGGTCCACTTTATGCCATTGCCAGTATTGTTAGAACCTCGTCACCTGTTCCACTGTACGCGTAATTCGGTTTCTTGTTTTTTTTTTTTTCCTTTTTCCTTCTCGTCCGGTGAAGAAGCGACTGAAGACAACGATTCCGTTTTGAAGGAATCACAGACTACAACAATTATCCACTTAAGGCGGAGTAGCAAGAGGACAGTACTCACACTCACACCTTTGCCATTCTCAGTCCTCTTCTCCTTTATGTATGCCTACTTTATAAAGTAAAACTGTACATATCTGTGCTCGGTTTTGAGTGTTGATTGTAATATAATAATTGCACTTACTATATGTGATGGCATGAGATTACAACAAAGTAGTTGCCCCTACCTTCAACTACCAAAGTAACGGAGTCAAAACTTGGTATGTCATCTCCATTGCTGGTGTCACTGACCTCACAGCCATACAACCTTTCATCACTTTTTCTTAAGTTTCTAAGGATGAATGAGACCTGACTTCCAGTATTTTTCCCCGACACTCTTCCAGTATACGCTGCTGGGGGTGTAACTAGTAGTGGATTGCCTTTAAAATAAGACACTAGCAATCGAGGTGGAGTTTCAAAAGCATAAGGAGTTACTGCTAATCCCCACTCGACCCTGGTAAAAGGTCTTAGGATGGTCCATGTGAAATTTATAGAAGAACCAATAACTCCCTTTACAGTCTTCCCACCATAATAATCGGAGAATGGCTGCCCTGAAGAAAAAATAATTTTTACTGCTAAAGACATTACAAACAGTGAAATATACGTACTAAATCCTTTACTTAAATAGTGCTGAATAACATTAAAATAAATATCTAACACCTACATCTATCTACCTAACATCACTGTAATCGTAAAAGTCTCCTGATCTTCCAGTTTATGTACATCTTAACACCGCTCGTTACCTTTGCGGAGGTGGAAAGAGAAGTCAATAAACTTGTTTTTGAATTTCCTCGGGATGGTAAAGTTCCAAGGAGGGTGGTCTGAGGATGATCGACCTAAATATGTTCAATAAGTCTCTTAAAGCCTTGAAGAAGTAAAGGTAATATTTTGTCCAAAACTGGTCCAATACTTTGGAATTCTTTATCTATTGATGCTAAGAAAATCAAGCCGTTTTCCAGTTTTCTTCAATATATCAAGAATTCTGTGATTGATTGTTATTATGCTATTATTGATTCCTAATATTTTACTATTAAATTATCTTTAACTATTATTTAATTAATGAAGTAATACTTTTTATCTAAAACACTTAATACTTTTTATCTTGTTTGGGTCACCTACACGGTTAGTTCCACAAACTATTTAGGTGTCCAGAACTCTGCACAATGAACCTACGATTGAAAATGTCTTTTCCTTCAAATCGCCCGATTTTATATTGTAAAGCACTAATTTGTACTAATTATTATTATTCTGTTTGAGTTTAAATAAAAATTGACTTGACTCGACTGTACTTGACTTGACTGCCAAAGACTTACTCCCCATGCCATGTAAGAAAACTACAAATTTTCACCCAAAGCAGGCGGGGAGGTAGGAAGACGAAGACACAAAAAAAACTGTTTACCCACTCCGCCACCCAGTGTGACGTCAAATAGTAACAGAGCCTTGGGTCGCTTGTGCAAATTTTCAAGGGATATCTCACGAGTGATGTCGAGGAAAAGCTAAGAAGCTAGCAAATATCGCTATATATCGCAAATTTGATCGTAAGTTTGTGAGCCTTGTTGTTGCTATAATCTGCTTGTGTAATCCGTTTTGATATTTTGTGTCCGTAATTGTATAATTTTGTTAATTTGTTTTGCGGGCCGTTTTCCGGGATCGCCATCTTTCTCACGGGACCGGCAAGGTCATCAAAACTTAAATTCTTTTTTTCTCTAAAATAGACAAGGTCTAGTCTCCAGAATAGGAGGTTCAGTCCAGTTACAGACTACACATGTTTATATTTCATCTATTCTTTCGCTAATTAAACCGACCTAACTTCATATCAGTCCTTTCGAGTGTGAGCCTCTTTTGAATTCCTAATACTCCACCAAATTCAGTAAAGGTAGTTTGGGGTTCCACTAGCTCCGAAGAGCTGAAAATACGCATAATGTAAAGGATAATATATATCCTTTGATGAGCCTCCTATTGCTGTGTCGCTAAATTCCTCAATCTCTCTGTGCACTGGCCCTCAATAGTGTGACCAGCTGGACGTTTCATTGATTATATTAATTTATCAACTGAATTACATTTTTGTTCACCTAAGTTCCGTTGAAACCAGAGATAAAACCTATAATTTTAATTATTTGAATCTTTCAATAGCGCGACTCTTTCGCTAAATCCAAGCATTTACTGTAAAGATCTTAACTTCAAACTGGTGCCAAAACTCAGGTGGAAGAATAATCAGCCATGCTTTAACTTGGTCAGTTTACTCTTGATGAGCGGGATAAACCAAGATTTCGTCTTACATCATAAAAGCGGAAGTTAAGTAACGAAGTGTGTGTTTAGTAAATGAATCAAGGGGAGTTTCAATTCATTCAGTATAATAAATTATGTGATACTACTATTCGTCGGCAATTGCAATAAGTGAAGTTCTTAGTAGCAAGTTTTAAATTCATTCTAGATGAAAATAAGTACTATATACATTAATAAATCCCCAATACATATGTCAATCAGCTTACCTGCACACGGGAGTATCGGAAGCAGCAACAGCAGTGATCCAACCGAAATCATGATAAGCATCCTTTGATCGTCTGTAACGTATAACATGACTTCGATAGTAGACTTAGTTGTGTTTTCACTTAGCAGTAATCATAAAACGCACATTTTCTCACAGAAGAAAAGATAAGCAGTAAAACGACACAGCTAAATTATAACCTTGCCGTAAGCGTCGTCTGGTGCAAACCACGTGACAAACTGAAGCGGAAGTAAAAACCTGTTACGTCACGCTATACATATGCGTTCCCCCCACGGCTTTTGATCCGCATTTAAAGTATTATGGCTATACGTTTAAATTAGTCCGAAAAAAATCCATTAAAAAAAAACAGAGAATCCAGTCGAGATTCTTTAATAAGTCTTACTCTAACATCTCAGCTGACTGCCCCGAAGCTCGCTTGTTCACATGCCGTTAAACTTATTGGTATTTCTGTTAATTAGTTTCAGGCGCTGTCATGGTGATTTGGGTATTCCCTTGCTTTGGGTATTCCTTCTCAAAATACGTTAGTGTTTTGGGTATCACTAGTAATATATATTAAAAGTAACAGAAATAGTATATCTTTACTGTGCATTAGTCTCCATTAAGATATAGAAGAGAACGTTCTGTTTACAATTAAGATTAAAGATAGTTCAGACTTCCCAATCAATGATTTGCAATTGATGTCATTTTTTTTTAGACCTCTTTGATAGTAAAATATCAGTAACAGTAAATCTTTATTGTGGATTAGTCTCCATTAAGACAGAGGAGGTATCGCTCTGTTTACAATTAATATTAAAGATAGTGCGAACTTCCCAATCAATGATTTGCGATCAACTTCTTGGATAGTAAAGACTTTGAGCGCTATTTGGGCGTGCTCTTTCCTTAGAGCTGCTTTAAATTTGATCGCGCATTATTGGTGTTTTGTATATGCCACATACTGAAGTTTGTGTTATCAAATCTTGATTGTTGATTATTTTAACACATTGAGATTATCATTGAGTTTCAATGCCCAGAAAAATACTTCACGCAGCAAAGGGTTTTCAGTGTCCGTCATGCTGCAGTCTCTTCCAGCAACAAGACACAAACAGACCCCAGACTTCGTGATCATAGAAGCTTCATAGAGAAGTAGCTATTAACAGACTTCGCAGAGATGTACGCTTGTGTTTGTCTGCTTTTATAGTCTTACGAACTTTTTGTGTCCTTGGTGGTTGTCTCTTTTTTTTATTTTTGCTTTATTGCGTTTTTTAATAAAATTGGAACAGGAACGGAAAAAAAGAATACTTTTACGTATTAAAAACTTCGCCCATTCGCCGTTAATTTGGGGGGTACAATATTCGGGAATTTAAATACTCACGTAACAAAAACTTGTTAAGGTTGGCCGATATTTTTGTTGTTTTTGGTGTTAAACAACAGCAATAACAAATTTGCCAAAACTATAACTGCCTTCAAAGGGTACAATCAGCAGGGTCTCGGTTATATTTGATCGTTGTCAAGATTTAAAACACATCTTACTGCGGGTACACATAACAGTTTTAGCTACCAGGAAAAAATATTTTCATTAATACCCACCTTGAACGACTAAATGTACATAATCAAAGGCTGTAGAATATGGACCCACAGGAAATAACTCGCTGCCATAAAATGCCTCATCGCTTTTCTTGATTTTAGTAAGGGTAAAATTGACAGAGCCGGAGGAGGCACTACCACTCCCACTTACTCGTCCAACATATGCTTGAGGGGGTGTCAAAGGTAATTGTCCTTGAAGTCCAATAGATATGAGCTTCTTATTCAAATCAACTGTGGAACTAACAGAATCCTTCAGTCCCCAAGTTACGGTTTCCACACCATTTGAAAAGTACCAAGTAAAGTTAATGGATGAACCAACTACTCCGAAAACGTCCTTGCCATCATATATTTGAATGAAGTTTATCTGACCTTAAATAAAAGTATATGTACAAGATAACTTACAAGTAAAGTTGATGTTCGTACAACAATTTAAAGTTGTATGAACTTGACACTTAAGTTATACTAATTTGCTTAAAAGCAATTTAAAATTGTATTCGCTAATGATTGAGGTCTTTGACAGGCATTTAATTCTATATTATAAAACGGTTACATGTCAAAAACAAGGGCTAAACCAAAATTTGGAGTCTCAACATTTGCTGGAATGAAGCCATTTTACTTTTTCAAAATGATTTTGATCTGAGATTAAGTGGTTCAAAACACAAGGTGAAGTTTTTCTTTGTAAAAATAAGTTATTCATTTTATTCATTTGTTTATTAGTTTTCGATCAGATTATACAGTCAAGAAGTCACTATGGTGTTGTTTATAGCTTCTCCAAAAAATCTTAACCTTCTTGGTCAGCTTCTTCTTTCATTGGCTTAGCTATCATGGTGTATGAGCTAATATACCATAAGCTACAGATATGTTATTAATAAAACAATTATTCCACTCGCGCTTGTTGGATATGAGATGATTATAGCCAACTCGGCGCTACGCGCCTCGTTGGCTCTTTACCATCTCATATCCAACGCGCGCTCGTGGAATAATTGTTAAATGTCAAAGCTCTCAGTGACCATGCAGTTTAATGTTTTTAGCTGATATTTAGCTTGACCTTCTCACTCTCGTTGACATGCATGCTTCAACTGTGTATCCGGTATCTCCACCCATTTCTCCTCCTTTGATTCCGTATTCTAATTTCGTTCATTGTCATTTTGTCAATGTTTTGCTTAGATGCAACCAAATTGGTCACAAACCCTGATTAATTTAACTGTTCGTCTTAATTCAGGCCGGAATTTTACCTAATTTTACAACCGCAATGCAGCAGCTTAGCGAAATTTTGTGTCATCAGCAAACACATAATCAGGAATCAGTGAATACAGATAAGCTAATGTTAAAGCCCTGCTTGTGTCATCAGAGAGTGGGTCAGCCACACATTGAATGACTCGAACCTGCGGACACGATTATTATTCGTAAAACATTAAACAACGAAGTGACAGTTGTACACGACCATCCTCCAACAAGGTTAACTTAATATGTACGCTTTGGTGCAGCTTCTTATCGTGCTTCCGCGGTTGGAAATCACTGGCGTGCAACGAATACAGTTTAGGATTAAAATATTTCTTTGGTTGGAGACGACATTAGACGATTGTAGATACCGAAAGTCATTCATCCACACTGTTTCTGAGCGAGTTTTCTACGAATGTAATGTGCTTCCAGCTCAGTTTTGACAACGAGCACCATGAGCTAAATGAAGTCTTACGTAAATCTAGTTACAATACGGCAAGCTACCAAGAACTATAAAATGCAATGCGCAAGGTTAGAGCTGTGGATATGATGTCCATATATATAATTTCTTTAATTAGGTTTTAGTTACAAGGTAGTAGGTAGGTTATATCAGATAGTATTTCGCGCTCGTAACTTCGTTTACAGGCTTACCTGACGACTGGACGATAAAAATAACCACAAGCACCAGATGGACTTTCATTTCGTTATTCTCCAGTTTGTAGGGTCGTTTCAGAAGCGAGATATTTTCTTTTCCGGTTAGCTGGGAAGTTTCCACGGAAATGAGTTCCACTCCGTACTTTGTATAATTTCCCTGGATTAAATAGAAAACATCGTCCCCAGGACTTCCAAAAATCTACACCGTCAAAGTGGCAGGCAGAAAACTACGCAAGACGAAGTGAATTAGTTAGCTTGGCTACCCTTTTCAATCGATGAATCGATGAAACTACTGAGGACCTTTGGTATAAGTGATATCCTATCTTCATAAAAGTTATCCACTCAAATTTGTTTAAACTGTGACAGGTTTAAACCCAGGAGTCATTCCATAATTAGTCGGTCATGTTGAAACGCAGAGCATGCAGACTGCAGACTGCAGACTGTGCAGACCGTGCAGACTGTGCAGACTGTGCAGACTGTGCAGACTGTGCAGACTGAGTGTTATTTTTTTTTTTACTTGTGCCTTAATTTTCTAGTAAAATTTTTCGCTGTGGCTAAATGGCCGGTAACCGGTCAAGGTTTTCAAAACACTAAATGGCTAGCAGTCCTATATTCTCAGTAAATTTCGCAGTCCACTCGATGGCAAAGAACAAATACTGAAAACTGGATATTATTTCTATCCACGCAAAGTTAAGATTACCTTGTACAAAAAAGCTTTTTTGTTTCATCATAACGTCGACAAGATAATGTTGAAGTGTATTTCAGCTCCAGAAGGGAACTAACGCGTAGAGACTTTTCGCGCCGGTTTTCCACGGAGGCCGCATGAAAGATCAAAATGTTATGACGTCAAACGTCGCCTGTCACCCATGCTTTAGATAGAAAATAGTCACGAACATCCAAAGACTCGAGACCAACAAAAGCATAATATAGAAATCTCACAAAACCGGCTGGTTTGATCGGGATCACGACTTATGATAGTTCAGAACGGCTGAATTTTTTCGATTTGTGAAATTTACTGAGAATATGGGACTGCCGGCCATTTATATAGTGTTTTGAAAGCCTTGACCAGCAGTCGAGCTGAAAAAAGTTCTAAGTAGGACAAAACACGGTTTCGTCTTTAGAGCCCAGCGTAAACCAAACACTAGACTTGAGATCTATAAAGCATTTCAGGATCGCTTGACTTGTTTTAATCGGCATATGATAGTTTAGATTAGCTAGCGTCTTTCGATTTTGTGAAATTTGCGGAATATGGGACTGCAGGTCATTTAGGCCCAGTTGAGACGTCGTGCTTCTGCCGTGCCGAACTTAATTGTAATTTGGTTCGACTGTAACACGGCAGGAAAACAACTTTGATTCTGACGTCGTGCTAGAGTCGAACCAAATTCAGGATTTACTGATGCCTCGTAACAATTCTTCTCCCAACTCCTCGTGGGAACGCAATCTCGCCAAAATACATTAATATAATTTATGAATTTTGTTTAGCGCGGCAGAAGCACGACGTTTGAATCACTGCCGTGCCAGAGCCGTGTAGCACGGCAGCGCTTGTCGAACTTAATTGCTTGCCAAACTTAATTCAAAAGTTTGATTCATACGCCGTGCTTCTGCCGTGCTTTTGTCGAACTGAATTCCTGAATTTAGTTCGGCACGGCAGAAGCACGACTTAGTGTTTTCAACACCTTGACCGGTTACCGCCCATATAGCCACAGCGAACTTTTTTAGTATAGTTTCCCGCAGGAGCGAGCACGATGGAGGAAGGCAAGCTGTTTCTTTCTGTAACTGCATTATATTGCCACGATTATTTAAATTTTTTTTAGTAGAAGAAGCTTTTTCAGGTTAAGTGACTTAAAATAAAACCCTTTTCGGCTTCCTACAGCGGCTACGAGAGAGACATTTCCTCAATTTCCTTGATTGTTGATGATCGTCTTTGGTTTCAGTCTGTCATTCAAACCGGTGACTTGCCGTCATTTCTTCAAATCTTACAGATACATGTCGTTGTTTACATCTGCCGGTAAACATGAGCCCGTGATTTTCTCATTTCCTACTGATGACCCTTGCAGGTACACATCAGTGTACATATGGTGGTGATGCACAGTGCAAATATATAATGAGAGGAAGCAGGAAACTATAGTAAAAATTTTACTAGAAAATCAATATACAAGTAAAAAAAATAAAACTCAGTCTGCACAGTCTGCACAGTCTGCACGGTCTGCACAGTCTGCAGTCTGCAGTCTGCATGTTCTGCGTTTCAACATGACCGATAATTAGGACGGAGGAGCATGATTATCCAGGTGAGAGCAGTCCTGAAGACTGTCTTTGACAGTGACTGACGTTTCGACAACCTGTGCGATAGTCATTTTCAGGGTCAAAGCTAGTTGTAACTCGTCAATTAGTTTTCATAGCCAATAACATCACGGCTTAACTGAGAGACAACCGATTAACATCGCGACCTTAGTTGACCAATCAAATCAGTAACCTGATTTTAATACCATCAACTGACGTAATACAGCTCACTTTGAATCAGAACGATAGATCAACACATGATTACGGTGCGGTTTTATGATGAGGTTGCAAACATCTCGAAACATTTACTTACAATCGACCAATCAGGGAGGGTTTTGAAAGCTTTGCTTGACTTTCTTTTTAAAAATGTTGGTTTCTGTCACCTCTCCGACTAACAATTTTGTTCATATCCACACAAAAAAAGGGCTCATGCATATATATTTTGTTACAAATATAACGGCTTGATGCAGACACCGTTTAATCATTCGTCTAGAAAAGTATAAGCTTGGCAGCTGCAAACTATATAGCACAAAAAAGTGGTGACAGCCACAAAAAAATCATACTAAGAAAGGCAGAATTCGCGATTTCTATATATTCTGTATAGACAAGTGCAATGCCATTTTGATAACATTTATTCTTGCCTTAATTGGGTACAATTAATAGACGATATTCGTATTCCCCGGCGGCCATGGGACGAGTAGGCCCATGCGCATGAATGCGAGGCTCATGCGGGGAAAAATAAAGAGACGCTCACTATTTTGTTTGGCGATTTCTAAAGATTTTGCGTGAAAATGCCGAAACATCACTGTTGTGCCTACAACTGTACGAACAGCAAGGAAAAGAAAAAAAGACCTAGTCAAATATCCCGAAGTTGCAAATGTTTTACTCTGCTTTCCACAAAATAACGAAAAAATACAGTATGTTCCTGGAATGAGTGAACAGGAAAGACGTCGAAGGTGGATCGCAGCATGCCGGCTGGAAAGCCTAAATGTCACAAGGCACACTCGTATATGTGCTAAACATTTTGAAGGAGGGTTAGGGCCAACAAAGGCAAACCCTGTTCCTACGATATTCGATTTTCCTGAAAATCTCCAGCGAAAAGAAGTGAAACCACGCCAGCATCCGAAGGGGAGACGATTGAAGAATGCTTCCACAACAAGCAAAATTCAGAAGGCAAGCAAACGGGGCAACTCGAAGGTTAGAAAATGTCCCGATTTGGTGGAACAGCAAGAAGTTCATTTGGAAAACGATGAAAGTTGTACAGGTGAGGAAACCGTAAATCAGGATTTATTGCTTGTGACACGGGAGTTAAATCTAAGTGAAAGTTTGATCGATGACCAGCAAAACTTGCTCGAAAAATCTCAGCCAGTAGAACTCAACGAGAGTCGTGACAAGATCAAAGACAATATATTATTGCACCATAAAGCGGTCCAGACAGATTTATCGGCTGATCAAATCACCAGAATGGAACAGGCGCACTTTAAATTACAAGATCGCCGCGGTGAATTAAAAGAGAATTGTTTATGGAGGACGTGCAACGAGACGATTCCTCGGTCCAGTTTTATACTGGCTTACCTTCACTTTCGTGTCTTCTCATGTTATTCTATTTGGAAGTTCAATGAAATATTGGGACGGAAAGAACAAGACACGAGCTGAAACATACCAGGTAAAACTGTAGTAATTACTGCGCTTTTCACAAACATGCGAACTCTCAAGTTCTAAAGCCGCCTTCGCAATTGCGTTTTTCGCTGCCGTCAATCATAATTACGATCACAAGGAACGAACCTTGAAACACAAAAACACACTAAACAGATCGAAATCCACCAATCACAAATCACAAACCTTGACCTTTTGAACCCGTTAAAGAAAAGTTTTGTTTCCTAAGAGGTCCGTTAAGATGATTGACGGCAGCGAAAAATGCAATCGTCAGTTGGCTTTTGAACTTCAGAATTCGCATGTTTGTGAAAAGCGCAGTAATGTAGTCTTCACTGCTCACAAAATGTTTCACGAAAAATCCAGTTACGTTTTCTATAACCTCACCACAAGTAAAAACCATCTTATCTGCCCTTGAAGTACATAGGTAAGTAAAGTGAGAGTCAGCATCTCATTTGTACGTTTTGAGGGAAAAATAAAATTTCCCTGTTTACACTACTAAATTGCCTGTTCTCAAGGTTCTGTATATGTATGCATGCCCGGGGAAGGTGCTTTGCATTTCAAGTGACAGGGAAGATCGAATGAGCAAAAAAATTGAAACCCCGAAAAATCCCTGGACCTAAAATTAACCAGAAAAAATTCCCATGCCTTTTTTTAATTTTTGAGTCTTAAAATTTCCCAGAAAGCATCAAATGATAGAACATGAAACACAAAAACATTAGAAATGAATGCTTATGTTTATTTATCAAGGAAACCTAAAAAACAATAGCTACTTAAATCAAGCCATCCAAAAAAATACTTAATGTTTCTACCAAAAAAATTCCTTCCATCATCGTGGTCACCTGAAATCCGGAGTACCCCCCTGGGATAGCATGAACAACAACAAAAAAAATAATTGGAAATACTAATCCATAAAGTTCTGAATTCCCTCTTTTTATTACAGTAGAACTTCAGTAACTCGAATTCTGAAGAGAAACAAAACATTTTGAGTGAGCGCGGAAGAATGATTTGAGTTATCTGAGTTCAAGTTATCAAAGTTCTTCTGTATTTCTTCAAGAAAACTGTGACAAAGAAAAACCTGGCCGGAAGAGGCAGTTACCCTATTTGATGAATTTGTTATGGTGCTTGTTCCCCTTCGTTTGGGCTTACTAAAGAAACAAATAGCAGACCGTTGTTCTCTATCTCCCAGGCTTCTGTATCAAAGATCTTCACCACCTGGATTACTATACTGTACCATGTATTTAAAGAAGTTCTCATTACGTGGCCATCTAAAGAGCTAGTAAAAAGGCATTTACTAAAACTCTTTTTCAAGTATCCAAGAACACGAGTTATTATCGATTGCACAGAATTAAAGATTGAGAAACCCGTTGCCCACTCCTCTCAAAAAGTCACTTGGAGTGATTACAAAAGCCACAATACATTCAAACTGCTTGAATGTTGGAATAAACCCTTCAAGAGTGTTTAGTTTCATCTCTGACCTTTACTCTGGGCCATATCTGACCGTGCAATAACTGTTAAGACAGGGTTACTTGAAAAGCTAGAGCCCATGGATGCTGTCATGGCAGATCGGGGATTTAACCTAAGAGACCTTGTTACCAATAGAAATGCAACACTGAACATTACATACCCCAATTTGCCAAAGGGAAGCCTCTGTCAACTAAAGCATGTACTAAAACAAGACGGATAGCATCTCTTAGAATTCATGTTGAGAGAGCCATCTAAAGAATGAAGAAGTTTATTAGATTATTGCTAGGAGTCATCGCTATCAGTATTGCCGCAGTGGCTAATCAGACTGTATTTGTCTGTGCAGTACTTTGTAACCTGCTAAAACCACTTGTCAAAAAGTAAATGGCATTATTACACAACAAGGCTGTTGATCTGGACACCTAATGCGTGGTAGTGTAGCCTAAACTTAATAACATTTTTGCTATTCAATAGTTTGTTCCAATAGATCTTTAAATGGGTTTAAATTATTATAAATTGTATTTCACTCTTCTAGGTTTATCTAGAACACTGCTGTGCGTTCTAGTCCAAGTTGAACCCTTGGATAAGCAAGTTCATAAACAAGGAATGTGTCAAAAAAAGTTTCAAGTTTTTTAAGTACAGGAGACCAGAAATTTTCTGTAAAAATCACTTTTTCATAAAACAAGTCTCCATTTGTCCCCTGGGCTACAAGAACTCCCCAGTGATATTCTGTGACAAACATTTGCTGGTACAACTGTAAGTAACATTTGGGGTTTTGTTGAGCTGAATAATTTCATTATCTCTGTGTTGCACTTTTAAACATATGTGTTGCCTTAAAGGGACATCTGTTAAAGTTTCACCAGGACAGGAGACCAAAAATTTTCTGTAAAGTACAGGAGATCATAAATTTTCTGTAAAATTCACTTTTTCATAAAACAAGTCTCCATTTGACCCCTGGGCTACAAGAACTCCCCAGTGATATTCTGTGACAAACATTTGCTGGTACAACTGTAAGTAATATTTGTGGTTTTGTTGAGCTGAATAATTTCATTATCTTTGTGTTGCACCTTGTGTTGCCTTAAAAGGACATCTGTTAAAGTTTCACCAGGTTTAACTTGAATGTACTTAAACTCAACAACCCCAGGGGTGCTTTCCTCTTGATCAGTAATTATACTATCAGGTCTTGCACCTAAAAAACCATGGGTTTTGCTGATAAAAAAGCCACACTTTGTAATTAAGACTCCCTTCGTTCCCTCGCTGTCCCACTTGTTTATAAAAATGCTTCTGCAATGCCCTTTTCATTTTGTAGTCCTTGTAGCATTGCAGTGGATTAGGGCATATTGTTCACCAGTAACTCCTTTACTGTTTTGGAAGGGGAAGTAGCGGGCTTAAGGCTTGCCACTCTTTTACATTTAGAGGCTGATATACGACGTTTTCTGTACAAAAACCAGTCAGATTCTTGACTTTGAAGCCTTGTTTTCTTTTTAATAATATTTTTCATCTTCAGTGAAGTTGAGTTTTCTTTTATTCCCTGTGCCTTCTGCTTAATTTCATCAACACTTGGGGGGTGGTTCTTGAAAGGTGATATATATATATCCTAAATGAAATGGATGCTCTTGTCTAGACAAGCTTACATTATCACTTGACAAAAATGGATCATTTTCATTATTCTGTGTTCTTAATTCTTCAGTAGCTCCGGTTGCTTTATTCAACCCAGTGTCAGGTAGTAAAAGAAGGCCTACAGCTGAAGGAACTGTACTAATAAGCAATCCTCTGAACTGTTCAACTAGATTTATATTTATGATGTCACGATATATTTAACATAAGCGGGGGATGGAGAGAACTTTTTTTAAATCTGAGCATGGGAGCCAGGTGCAGATGTCAAATGCCTGTCATATTTGGGAGGTAATCCACCAAGTGAAAGCTGTTAAAGTTGTGTTTTGGTCGTTTTGGTCTTTTCTGTCAACATGGTCTTTGTTTCTCTCAACTTGGAGAGAAATACAAAAATAACAACAATACTGTTTCTTAAAGAGTGATTTAACTTGAACCGTGAAACAGATACTAAAAAATAGTGCAAAAAAACAACAGGTAAACAAAAGAAGACAATGGATAATGGTGCGTGGTATTCTACTACCTATTTCACGGGTACAAGTAAAATCGCTCTATTTACTATTTCTACTACTAGTACTACACTACTACTGCTACTACTACTATTACTGCTACTACTACCAATAATAATAATAGTAATATTAATAATAGAAATAATAGCAATAATAACAATACTAAAAGACAAAAGTTGGGTTGATTCGTCAGCTTGTGATGCGATCCTTCGGCCTAGTAACAGCTGTACAGTCACATAGCTTTTAAGTCGTTTACGTCAGCGTAAAGGCTGTGGTCATATTGTTTCAAATTGACATATGTCTGGAAAAATAAGACAGTAAAAGAAATGCAAAGTTGTATAAGGCAATTGAGATATTCCGCAGTCACACTCGACCTCAAAAACAATTCATTTCACCTACTACTCAAACATAGCCTTACAGGCAACTTTTATGATTACTGAAGGAAGACAGACATGTTATCCCCATCTTGGAATCTCTCCCCTCACTGAGATTATCAAACCAAGACTAAGGACGGCGCCACCTCAGAAGTGGTCACTATCAAACGTTTGGTTACATAGATTAAGTGAAAAAAAAGTTTAAGAGGTCTACATTTTCCCGTCGTTATCCTGCTTGAGAGGGATCCAGATCTAAATATTTAATTACATAATGTAAACGATGGAAGGACCTTCCTATCACTTATTTTAGGACCCTATATGAATTCTGAAATCTGATACTCAACCAAATGAGCCAACCAGGTCGACAGCGGTTTTGTAGTAGTTTCGTTGGTAATGAATGTAGTGTAATGGATAGAAGTTTGAAAGTTAACTGCTTCTGAAGAGACGGCAAAGGGAAATGAAAAATAAATACAGCAACCAATTCAACATTTAATCAGTCTCTTACTTAGATAAGAGGGCGGGAGGGAAGTGCTACACACTCCCCTCAGCTTCAGCTCCTGAATAATGATTAGCTTCTTCCCTAAATGAACCTTCCGTATTCATGATTGTTTCTCCCTTTTAAAGAGAGTTCTTACTCTTCTTACCTTATGATTTCTCTCCATCTCCTTCATTGTGTTCCTCAGTCTTTCAAATGTAGGACGATCCAATGGGTTTTCCCTCCAACAGTCAAACATAATCTGATAGCTAATCGAGAGAAACATATTACCCGTCACTACATCACTAGCGTAAATTGGGGAAGGGCCTGGACCCCCCTTATTTTTTGGTGGAATTTGAACCCCCAGGGAGCGGGTCCCCCTCTTATATTAGGCTCTGGATGAGCAGAGGCCACACTTTTTCCTGAGGATCTGAGTCCACAGGAACAGCTACGGAAACCTTATTGTCTTGGCATTGGCTACTAATTTTTAAAACTGAATCCGTATTTATAATTTTTTTTATTTCTTAGAACTTTCTTTTCCCTACTCGTATTATAACTCACAGTTTAATTTCAACGTGTTTTGGTTTTGGCATTCTGTATCCTTCCTGAAGTTTCTGGGCGATTTTACGGGCATTTATATCCGGATATGGAGATCCACCTGGAAGAAATGAAGCTATACTAGAGAGAAGAATACATAACGGAAAAAAAATGCCCTTGTGCACTAGCGAAATCATATAAGAGAAGTCTACTCAATTTGAACAAAATTAATATTAATTCTAATTCGTAAACCTTTGCTCTGAGTTTTGGAATGTTTTGTTTCTTATAAGAACAGCAAGCTTTAAGGGAATATTATTTAAGAAGATAATAAAAAACTGATTAAGCATTGTAAGTTTGTTTGTTTGCTCAACTATCCCGATATGATTACTGAAATTATAAGGTGAGTGGAGTTTTACTTTTGTTTCATTTTGTATCTGTTCTATCTATTACGAACCATGAAAAACAAGGAAAAATATAGTACACAAAAGAAATATGAGAATGAACAATTTTCCCAACTCACCAACAGTAAGAATCTCGTAAAGTACGACGCCGTAACTCCAGCTAAAACAAAACAATCAGCGTCATCAGAAATAACTAAAATGATGAAGAGAAGGCGCGTGCACCGGCTTTCTAAAAGCTACAGTCACCTTCGAACTTGTAGAGTACCACCTGCACAAGCAGCACAACATAAAACTCTTTCATTTTGTTGAGATAATTATCGTTGAAGTTAATTGAACGTGACAGTGCTTTCTTTTTAGGCATAAAAGAGACAGACGAAAGTCTTCCGACCCATTGGAAAAGACAATATTCCCCATGCTTAACCTGAAAAAAAAAACTTTCATACAAAAATACCTACACATCACTCTGTGTAGTGTATGTTCCATACATCAACGATTCATAAGCAGTCCATTTCACTGGCAGACGCCTCTTAGAAAACTATCAAATTAAAATCAATCAGAATTTTTTAAAATTTAATTTGCACCCTTATGCCGATGTTTTGATTGTTACTTTCTCAGCACGTTTTTAAACGTCGCTAAGGATACTCGGGATTTCAAAGTAGCAATTTGCACCCCTGACTACAGATCCCAAGCAATTTTGTAATAAAATCCGACATATTTAAAATTAAACGGTGTGCTTAGTTGAACTCACGCGACTCGTTTTGTTGTAGATGTCTTCCTGATGCACATCCCTTGCCATTCCAAAATCTGTCACCTTACACTTCTCTCCTTCACCAACCAGAACATTTCTTGCGGCCAAGTCACGATGGATAATCTACATGACAAAACTTTTTTATAACGGCTTTTTCAAAAATCGGATCAAGATAAAAATAATAGTCTTTTTAAAGCTGTGCATAGGGCCTTCTCACATGAGCGCGGTTTCCATGATCTAGCTTATTTACCTCTAAATTCAATGTGTTCACATGAGAGGGTGGGCTGTCTCGGTTCCCAAGATCTCTCGCGCGGTTTTTTTCAACCAGGATTTTGGAAGCCGGGCTTAAATTTCACATTTGAACCCAAGGCGAAATTGGTCCCGGCAACCAGGCTCATCCGAAGAGGCCAGTTAATTTGATAAGTTTTTATCATGACAATTTGTTGAAGACAACTGCTAGATATTCAGAAAAAAGGAATCCTATCCAATACGGAAAGCTTTTTTTTTACAAAGCACACCCTCAGTTAAAAATTTGTAGTTACTAGAGACGATAGTAACTAATTTGCGGACAATAGATGCGATGGTACATTTTTGTTCTATTTTGAGTAACCGCAAAGAAAGGACAAAGTTATTAGCAAGATTGAGATCCTGCTGATTGCTGTGCGACTGATATAAGTTCCCCATGGTGCCTAATGCGGGATGTCATGGGATTGTGCCTCCTTACTAGCCTTCGAAACCCAGTGTTTCTTTCATACTCGCCTAATAGGGCAGTCTCTACTATGGGTATGGTAAGGACTGATCCGATTACACCTACGCAGGTGGAGCACCTCGCTCAACTTGTTCAGAAAAGACTGGTACCATTGGCCGCATGAGCTGCTGGTCACAAACTCACACAACGAGCTCGGACCCTTCAAACCCACAGGATAGGTATCTCTGGAAAACATCGTTTATGTAACTTTTTTAGTAGATTTATTTGAAATTCATGTATTTATTACGTGACGCTCATTATTTGAGCATATGTTTTTTTTAGAATTGGGCAAGGTTTGTAAGACTAACAATTAAGCTCCTAAGCCTTGAGTGCTCAATCTTATGTTCCATAAAAGTTTATCTTGTAGCTAAATGTTAATGATATCTTTCAGTTCCAATGTCAGTTCTCAATTTCAAATTATTACTTCTTTTTTAAATCAGATTTAAAGCAAACCTTTTTTGAGGATAAGTAACACATTCCATCAGCAACCTGCCAAGCGAATTTCATTAACTGTTCTGCTGTAATATTGGTCTGTGGCTTCATATCCGGGTCCTTAAAGTACGTGTCGTTCAGTCCTCGACTCTTCCTCAAGAAGCCCAGTAGGTCACCGTACGGTACATACTCAATTAAAACCAACAACGGCTCTATGGTAACCAACAAAATTAGAAGCATTAGAAAAATCTCCGATTTACTCTCCGAGCGAATATTAATGAGTTTGTTCGCACGAAGGGACATAGAATGAAGTTAGTACCTTTCAATGAAGATGATGTGAACTGCGAGAATACAAAATCTAACTGGAGGTTTGATCATCGCAGTTTTGATGTAATTTAGGAAACACCAACGAAGCCCGAAAATCCGCTAAATGCGGACACTTCATTGCATATTACGGACAGTTTGCTTTGTCCCTGGGGAAAGAAAGCCTTCTGCTAATACGGACACTTTCTATGGTCCCCTCAGTGTCCGTATATACTCGGTTTGACCACATTATTATTTCATTTTCTTTGAAACCCTGCAATATTTCTTTCAAACATCCCTTACCGGTCTCTGTGACGCAGCCCAACAGCTTGATCACGTGGGGATGAGGTTTTAGTTTTTTCATCACGTCAACTTCTGACAGAAGGTCCTTTTTATCTGAAGCTGGAGTATTTGCTAAAAAGAAGAACCCAAAAAAATTTCTCAATTTTTACCATTACTTTATTGCGGTAATCGTTTTGCTGCGGTGAGCTTGTTTCAGTGTTCTCTGCCACTTGGTCTTTTTTGTTTTGTTTGCATCGAAACCATCCAATTGAACGAGATGCCTTTTAAGTATAGTGTATTGACCTACATTTGGACTCAACCTCACCCAAATCTCCAATTATTAGTCATAGTACACTGAATTACACTACACCTTTGAGCATTTTTACTGCTACTGTCAAGTTGTCCTGGCTTCCACGCATGCCGTTTACTGTCGCCTTGGCAACTTGTGAAAAAGCTCCTTTACCAATGACTTTAACTATGTTGACCTGTCTGCGACTGATCTCCCAGCTTCTCGTTGAGGGATGAAGTGGCATGTAATCTGCACTTGCTGTGGATGCATAGGTCGGGGATTCAAAC